TGTTCCTTGAAGTTATTCAGCTGGTCCATTAGGGGGCGCATGGATTCTGCCAAAGTCTTTGCCAGCTCGTTAGTTCCTTCCGGTTTTGGGCTCTCATTTCCTTTCGCTTTCAAAAGTATCTCCTTTTCCGGCCTCTTCCCCGCCATGTTTCTCGGATTGTTTACTTTTGCAAACTTTTTGAAAGTCTCTGAATATGCGCTTAAACGATCAAACACTTCTTGGTAAGTACTTCTTAACAGTTTTAACCACTTATTTTCCCGCTCCCCCCTTCATTCGCTCAAAAGTTCATGCGCTCGGGAGGCATCCCTCCCCCGCTCGCCTAATTCTCTATTGTGTAGTTAGGGTGGGGAGCTTTCTTTTCTCTTTAATCAATGCTTAAACGACTCATGTTCATAAGCGGTCCTCAGACCTCGTTTACTTTCAGTTTTAAATGCTCGATCTCCTGCGCTTGCCCCGGTTAGCGTTGCTTAAGGCCATTCCGTCTCTCAGCACGGAGAACCATCAGAACGGAGAGGCGCCTCAATTCTCCAGCATTCCGCCATCGAAGAGGCGGCCTCTCAGAAGTTCCATGGCCAGAGTCCCTTCAACTGGGTCTCGGGGGGGGGGGGGGACGAACCTGGGCACCCCCTCCTTTGGCTGGAGCGCAGCTTCACCCCTGGGAGGTCCAGGAGGTGAGTCTGCTCTAGCACACCGCCATCACCGGAAGCCCCAGTGGCACCTTTAAGACCAAGTGGCGCCTGAGTGGTGGGTGTTGCCTTCTGACACACAGTTATGTCAGGGGGCGTGGCATATGCAAATAAATTATGCTAATAAGTTATGCTAATGAGCTTCTGCACCTCTTTTTCTATGAAATGACCCCTGGCAGTCTGTCTGACAATGGTAGCCTGTCAGATGCTTGTTCACATGTCAGTAGTAAATTCAGGGGGCTGATATGCTGCTGCAGCAAGGGTAGAAAGGAGATCTCACAGACCTTAAAGACTGGATTTCATTATAGCTGAAGCTTTCAGGGGCTAGAACAGAGTCCAAGGACATTCTGCATAGCTTATTTTGCTGCTTCAAGAAACATCAACACCCCTGGATTTAGCAAAGACTATACTTTGGCAGGGATATATATGCAGACCCCTGTTGTCTTCTAAGCCTCTTTCATAAGCAACACAAAATCAATGCGGAATTTTAAAAGGCCTTTCAGTGTAGAGGATTATATTTGCATAGGGTGGATGGAGTATCTGTTTCTGCCAACTTGTTGCCTCCGCAAGAACTAAGATGCACACACACAAAAAGCAAAGATCAGAAGATGGGAGGAGAGAGAAAAATTTTTCCATATCTAGAAATGTCGAGAATGTGAACTTGGCAAGCAAAAAGGAGCACGTCTCAGCTTGGCTTTGTTCTCTCAAAGCAGACGGAGAGCTCTGACTCAGAGAGGGGCTCAAATTCCACTTTCTCCCAACATTTTAGCCTAATTCAGAACTGACTGGGAGGAAAAGCTAGCAGTGCCACAGCTAATCAAGGGTGGGCAAGTGTGGCCTGAAGGGAAATAATGTGGCAAGCTGAAAGATCAGGAAGGCAAACACCATCAAGAAAGAGCAAAGTTATTTAGGTGCAGAAACTGGTGTTAGCATAGTGGGTAAGTGTCAGCCTAGGACCTGAAGACCCAGGTTTGAATCCCCATTCTGCCATGGGAGCTTGCTGGGTGACTTTGGGCCAGTCAAACACATTCAGCCTAACCCTATTTTCAAAGTTATTGTGAGGATAAAATGGAGAAGAGGATAATGTTGTCAAACACATTCAGCCTAACCCTATTTCAAAGTCATTGTGAGGATAAAATGGAGAAGAGGATAATGTTGTAAGCCACTTTTGGGGAGAAAAGTGGGGTATAAATGAAAGAAACAGACATGTATGAAGGAATATCAGAACTAGTATCTGCAGGCTGGCTGTGTAAGTTCACACTGATGGAGTGGCAAGCCGGGCTCTACCTCTTCAAACAGGCCTTCTGCAACATGGCCACTCTGCATGCTGACTGAACAGGGGGAGAGCAGAAACAAGGGCCAGGGCCTTCTCAGTGGCAGCTCCACACTGGTGGAATGAGCTCCCAGAAGATATCAGGGCCCTGCAGGATCTTTTACAGTTCTGCAGGGCCTGCAAGATGGAGCTCTTCTACCAGGCCTTTAACTAAGGAGCTGCCACCACCATCACGGACCCTAATTATAGAGCCCTGGCCCTTGGCTTTGGCATGCACAGCCTGTTCCGCCGCTCATGTCAGGGAGATCACTGAGCAGAACATTTATTTAGATCTTTGCATGCACTCATATAGTACGCCATCGCTAAGTAATTAATTAATCATTGCTAGCACCTTATGATATTGAATTGTTTTATAACTGAACTGTTTTTAGATGATTTTATGTGGATCTTAATTGTTATCTGTGTATTACTTTGTGTAAGCCGCCCTGAGCCTGCCTCGGCGGGGAGGGCGGGGTATAAATTAAAAAATAATAAATAAATAAGTACGCTGTGGGCCCACCTCTGCACAGCACCTATGCATTGAAGAAATTTACGCATCTTCACATTTTCCCTCTGACATAGCAATCCTGGAGATTGCATTTGTTAAAGGGATAAAATAATTTAAAGTAAACATGTGTGTGTGGTTGGGGGGGGGGGAAGGAGAATGTGCAATTGAGCCCTAAGAGAGCATAGCTGGTCTAACACCATCTATAGAGTTGCCACATCTTACCTCCTTGCCGGCAGGGGGTGGGAGGGAGCTTTCCAGGAGTGGGGGGCAGGGCAACGTCGCCATGCACAACATTCCCAACATCATAACCTCACGCAGAAGATGTCATCACACTGAGGATGTCGCGCAGCAACATTCTGGTATTTTGGGCAAAACTCTATGGTAACCATAGAGTTTTGCCCAAAATACCAGAGCGTCGCTGTGCAACACCCCAGCATGACAACGTCCCTTCCACGTGACATCGTCATGTCAGGGGCATCATGCCAGGTCATGGCTATTGGGGGCAGGGCTCCCCCACTGGCCAGCTGGCTGGGAACAGGCAGGAGCCCACAAAATCGGTGGATCCCCCACTCCCACCTGGGGGCTGGCAACCTTAGTCATCTAGGACGTTCACAGCAGATAAGAGGAATATAGGAACATGAGCCCTGATGGATCAGACCAGAGGTCTATCTCGTCCAGCAAGCATCTCGTCTTGCACAGTGGCCAACCAGTTCTTCTTGAGGGCCAACAGGGCACAGAGGATGAGGCCTCCCCCTGAAGTTGCCTCCTGGTGCTGGTATTCAGAGGTTCCCCTCAGTCACTAGGGCTAGTGGCTACTGACAGACCTATCCTCTGTGAATCTGCCTAATCCCCTTTTAAAGCTGTCTATGCCTGTGGCTTTCGAGCAAGGGAACCTTTACCTTTACCTATGCCTGTGGCTATCACTACATCCTCTAGCAGTGAATTCCACATTTTAATCTCTTGCTGTGTAAAGTATTTCCTTTGTCCTGAATCTTCTGCCCTGAAGCTTCATGGGATGCCCTCAAGTTCTAGCATTTTGGGAGAAGGAGAAACATTTCTCTTTGTCAGCTGTCTCTGTGCCAGGCATCATTTTATAAACTTCTATCATGTCCCCCCTAAGATGCATTTAGGTGGTTTCTGACTTGTAGCTCTGTCTTAGCCATACACCGCCACGAGCTCCCATAGCAGAGCGCCATGTCAGGGAGAGGACTTCTAGCTTAGATTTGCTGCATGCAAGGAATCTTCCTTCATATGGGAACTTTCCATCATGTGATGTTTTCACCTCCAGCCTTAAGTGGTACGGTTCAGATCTAAGGTTACCACCTGTTGTTTGTGAGAACTAGAACAAATGTTATGCTGCAAACCACAGAAGGAAGGTTTTGAGATGGGTGACTGAGGGGGGGGAAACCTCCCTAGAACAGCTGTAGGAAGAACGAACCTCATGGGGTTTGCTAAGTTTCTGAAGAACACTGTGCAGTGCACCTTTGTTGTGGCTCACTACAACCAGGAAAGGGTTAACCCATTTCCTCCCCCTCAACCAGGCTCATGGGAGTGAGAGCTCATGTTCTGCCCTTGCCAGTATTAGTGCTGCAGGAGTTTCAGATATGCTTCAACACAACTGCTATATTTGGACAGCAAGGAATTATCTCCCAAGTCTGACTGGCCAGTGACTCTGGGAGAGGTTTGTGGCTTCTCAGGTGCATGCAGCAAGGATCAGTAGCTAGAGTCACCTAAATCTCTTTATTTTGCAAGCATTTTTCCCTATAATGCACCTGTTCTAATGACATGTTGAATTGGATTGGCATATGCCAGGGGTCCCCAACACGGTGCCCACCAAGTATTTTCGGAAAGTTAACGGGGCCATGTGGGGCTTTGGCCCAGCAAGTGTTATGATTGCTTGTGCAGACACTTTAAAACATGGCTTTAGCAGCAGCTGCCACCACAGCACAAAAGTTCTTCATTGCATGACTGAGGGTAAGCTGCAGCAGCCATTTTGTGGCTGGCTCTGCCTCCTGCGGTAGCCATCTTGTAGCAGCCATTTTACGGATGCACCCACCATGGTAGGTCAGAATTCCTCGGGCCCAAAAAGGTCGGGGATCCCCGGCAATGTTCCCTCTAAGCCGTGGAGCCTTGTGAGCAAAAATTCTACTTTGTGAGCTCCTGGCATTAAAGTTGTGAGCGAGCGATTTGGCTACTGCATAAATTAGTTTGCTCTGGAGCCCTCCTTCCTGAGCAAAGACAAAAATCTGTGAGCTGGAAGCTTAAAAAACTGTGAGCTAGCTCACACTAACTCAGCTTAGAGGGAACAGTGATCCCCGGCACAGGCTGAAAGGCAAATGGCCCTGCTTGCATTTATGGGGTTGGTAGGCAGATGAGATGTTTTTTATGACACAAGAACATGAGCGGTGGTTGAACTTTCAGATCTTTCCAGATCTGCAGCCCAACCAAAACAATTTTACTTCATCAAAGTCATTTGGATCCACACTCACTTCTGTATTGGAATAGTAGGTGTTCCAAGTAGACCTCAGGGACTCTTGCCCACCGATGTCCCACATCAGGAAGTGAGTCTTGCGCAGAACAATTTCTTCTACATTGCTGCCAATGGTGGGAGACGTGTGCACGACTTCGTTCATGAGGCTGGCAGAAGACCAGACCAGTAAATTAGAGGGCCAGACCAGAAAGATGCAACAGCCCCTCAACAGCTCCCACATCAACATTCCCCCCTCCAAAGGAAGTGGTGCTAATGAGACGCGCAGGTCTTCCTATTCCTAATCTGTAGCATCCTGGAAACCCTGGGAAAGTTTATGGCCAACTACAAATGCCACTGCATTGGAAAAGCTGGAAAAGGTTCTTGAAGCATTACGGCGACATCACTTGCACAGGTAACTACAAGCTTCATGACAATTCAAAATGAAAATGGGGGAGGATTTCAAAAGGCTTCCTTTATGATCACAAATGGTGCTTACGTATAACAGCCTCTGATACGAAGGAAAGTGCCCGACTCTCATAACCCCTAAAAAATAGAATGTGATATACGTGGAATAACAGGAACAGGAATGTGCATCACCCCTCCCCTTTCCGAGGGCCTTTTCAGTGCAGTCATGTGATTATGTCCTTGTGTCTGGCACAGGGATGCTGCTGCCATTTTAAAGCGGATTAAAAATGTCGTTGGGTCCCAATCCTGATTGGGCCTGCCACACAAGCTTTGCTTAGGTGAGTGGGAGAATACAGGCCAATAGCTTGATAGTTCTCTAACTACCTCCAATCCCATGCTGGGACTGTTTGAGATTATTTCAATGACATGAGAAATGCACTCTGCATATACCCCAAGTCACATGTATTACTCTGAAGTTATGGAACAGCCGGGACAATCAAACACGTTCTAGCGCTCAGCCCTCAAATCGAACCCCTTCTCTGACTGAACTCTGAGCTGTAGGCTGAATATAAATGAATAGGACAGGCGGTAGAGGGAGAAAGATACTCACAACTGGTAGAGGATGGTAGTTTTCCCAGCATTGTCCAAACCAATAATTATAACCTTGTGCTCTGGAGAGGGACAAAGAAATGAAAAGATATGAAATTAGTTTCCAGCTGTCCAGGAAAGATACACTGATGGATCCAACCAGCTTTTCTGCTGGCCATAAAAAAAGAGGAAGGATCCCCCTCTGGCCACCCAAAAGGGCTAAGCTGGGGACCACGGCATCTGCGTGGACAAAAGCCATGTGGGATGGGGGAACTATAGATGGAAGGGGAATTTGTGAGATTCAGTGCAAAAGCTGGTTGAATCCAAACGATCACTTGGAGAACATAAAAAGAGTCCTGCAGGATCAGACCAATGGTCCATCTAGTCCAGCATCTTGTCCCACACAATGGCCAACCAGTTCCTCTGGAGGGCCAACAACAGGGCAGAGAGGCTGTTGCCTCCTGGCTCTGGGATTCAGAGGCTTAGTGCCTCTGAATGTGGAGGCTCCCCTCAGTCACCATGGCTCGTTGTCAATTATAAACTTATCTTCCATGAAACTATCTAATCCCCTTTTAAAGCTGTTGATTCCTGTGGCCATCACTACATCCTCTGGCAGTGAACACATTTTAATCACTTTCTGTGTAAAGTAGTATTTCCTTTTGTCCATCCTGAACCTACTTCCCATCAGCTTCATTGGATGCCCTCGAGCAGTGTTCCCTCCAAGCTGAGTTAGTGTGAGCTAGCTCACAAGTTTTTAGCCTCCGGCTCACACGTTTTCGTCTCAGCTCAGGAAGGGATGGCTCCAGAGCCAACTGATTTATGCAGTAGCCAAATTGCTGGCTCACAACTTTAATGCCAGCAGCTCACAAAGTAGAATTTTTGCTCACAAGACTCCACAGCTTAGAGGGAACATTGGCCTTGAGTTCTAGTATTTTGGAAAAGAGAGAAAAATGTTTCTTTGTCAGCTCCCTCCGCCCCATGCATAATTGTATAAACCTCTATCATCGCCCCTCTATCAAGAGGTCATTACTATCTATTCACACACTGAACTATTACTGTGCATGGAGAAGCTAAAGCAGTGAGGCAGGGATAATTGCTCATCGCAGACAACCCAGAAAAGCATACAGCTGCTTGCCAACCATTCCATGGAGGTGAAGAACAATTCAAGACCATTGCACGCAGCTTTCTTTCCCCTGCTTTGGCTTATTAGAGGACTTACTGGGATGCCCCACCCATCAGGAATATGGCAAACAGCTGGGGTAACTCTGCGCTCCTCTCTGCCAATGAAATTCCACCACCCAATGTAATTTGACAATACTAATCCAAAAGTCAGCAACAGACCTGTCAATCAGATATAACAATGCCATTTCCCCTTACGGACAGATTCACACATTTAAAGCCTTCTCCCTGCTGTGCTCATGTGAAAACCAGAAAGGCAGCTGCAAATGCACTTGTAGGTTTCTGAACTGACCAACAGCCAAGCAGAAGGGTGGCCGCCGTTTTGCCACTCCTTTTCAGCGTTCCCGCACTTCAACAACACATGTAAGATGTCAGTTCTACTGTAAATGCTTTTCAGGTTTGTTTGGCAGGTACAGCATTATGTCCACACAATTGCAACTACCGCCCCATGTGCCATAAAAGCAAGCATACAAGCTTCTTGGGGGCCTTGCAGGCAATGTTCCCCCTAATTTTTCTTTATTCCCTACTGAGCAGAGCAGTTCACATCCTGAGCAGAATATAACTGCTGTAATCTTCAAATGGGCAGTGGACAGTGCAAGACCCTGCACGGCTCCAGACTGCTGCTGAGCGGGGCTTCCTGTGTTAATGAGCAGCCACTCATGTGCACAGCTTAGAGGTAACCATGCTTGCAGGACTGAATCTCCAGCTGAACCACCTAAGCGACTGACTGATGCGTCAAAATGAGAATGCTGGCAAAATGCAGGAGCTGTGTTCACTTCAGGCTTCTGCAGGGCAGGACACAATGGGCATCTTGCACCATGTTGCTGATGGCTGTGGGTTCGAATTCCCCATGACAGTAGATTGAAACTGGGCCGGTTCTGCATGGAGGTTTGGCGTCCAAACTGGAGCAGGTTTTGGAGCATCCCAAAGGTGCTGTTGGCTCTTATGGCTTGTTCTAAACATTGTGACACTGCTTCAATTGTAAGCTGCCTCGAGCAGGACTCAAGAGGTGGTGTGGAAATATCCTAAATAAAATAAATAAATTCACACGTCGTCCCCGAAGGGTCCACTTTCTGAGTTTTCCCCTGCTTTGCTCTGAGCTTTTCCCAAACCTTGGCTGTACCCACACATTACTGAATACAGTGCTGGAGTAATCATTGGCAACTGAATTAGTTTGTTCACACAGCTGCGAAGGACTGCTGCTTCAGAATGCTAGCACAGGATGCAACCAGCTGTGGATGTGGCCCTGATCTGTTTTTCGGGACTGATAGCAGCCGAAGCATGTCTGCCCACTGTGTGACTACAAAAGTGGGCATCAGTGAAGAGTCAGCCCACACTGCTGCTCCCTTCCTTGCCTAAGCCCCTGTGGCCACCATCCCCCCCTGTACATGCCACTGGAAGGCTGGGGGGGTGTCTTTAAGAACATAAGAACATAAGAGACGCCAATGTTGGATCAGGCCAAAGGCCCATCCAGCCCAACACTCTGTATCACACAGTGGCCAGAAATACCAGTGCCATCAGGAGGTCCACCAGTGGGGCCAGGACATTTGACGCCCTCCCACTTGCCCCAGAGTCCCTATCTATACCTTGTGGCTAATAGCCACTGATGGACCTCTGCTTTGGGTCTTTGTTTTTTAAAAAAAGGTAGTCATACAGCAATTACAGATTTTTTTTTAAGTAAAAAGGTCCTTTGGTAGCATACAGCAAGGAAATTGCAAGGGAACCCACTAGGTAGATGCTCCATTGTTGCTGTGGAAATCTTCTGCACGTACAGTGGCCACAAGAACTACGCAGAGAACCTCTGCCACTCCAGACAAGAGGCCATTGAAACATCAGGAGAGAGCCTACCTTGGCTCAGGGAGACAAAAATCCCTTGAGTCTACCCTGTTGCCCCAACATACAGCAGTTACTAATAGTTCGTCTGTGTTCTCCTTGGGTGAGGAGATTATGCACATCGCCTTAAGTCCCAAATGACTGATCAAAAAGAGCCACTGTGATATTTACTCAGCTGCAGAACCGCTACTCCAATTTATCGCTATATCAGTTTTAACCTTGAAAAATCCATTATGGATCTTGTTTGACCTACAGGAATATATGAAGCTGTCTTGTGCCAGAGTGAGAGATGGGCAGGCCCACGGAAAAAATGGGAAAACTGGGGGGAAATGGATTATAGAATATTTTCTTTTACAAGGATAAAGAACATGCTTATGACAAGGGCGTTCATCAGGGGTCATTTCCTGCAGGAGCGCACAGGAGTGGAGGTCCAGTAGTAAAAAGCCCAGGTAGTGGGCACATGCAACAAGCCCCACCCCCTGCTCCCAGCAGCCCTCAGTCAGAGCAAGAAGCAGACAGGTAAGTTGC